CATTCTGACTCTGTAAATTTCTTGTTTTTCTCCCGTTCCAATTGATTCATTTTTTTTTGTAAATCATGTTGTACATATTGCTGGTCTTTGTTTTTTTAATCATTCATGTTTTCTCCCAAGCAGTAATATTTTAAAGCTACTGTGTTAACTTGATGTAAACTTTTCTCACTTGAAAACACTAGACAGGATGTCACGTAGAGATGGCGGATTTCAACTTGTATTACTTGGGAGTGTTTGCTTGCTCAGACCTACTGAGGCAGGTCTGAGCACCAAGGGAGAAAGTACCATGATCTGCACAGAAGGACGTGCACTAGATTCAGGGTAGAGTTTTTCCCCAGGGGTAGGGACTGCTGTAGAATTGTTGTGGGGAAGAGGAGAGGGCACAGAAGGCTTCATCTGTATTTCTAATATTTTATTGACTAAGTTTGATGGTGGGTGAAATTTGTCATTTTATATCTTTTTACATATGTGAAATATTTTATGATGAAATTCAAAGAAGTGCCATAATAGATTAGTGATAACTGCCCTGGGTGTCACTGGTATGTGTGCTACATGTTTGTTGTACCTGGTCTGTGGGGCCTACCCATCACCGAGGTCCCTTAGCCTCTGTCCTGGATTAGACTGTCATCTCCAAATATTTGTGTTTGGATTTACATATATACACATGTACATTTATATGCATATATGCATATTCATTTTATCTTATAATGTGTTATCACAAAATGCAGTGTAAGACTTTTTAAAAAATCAAATATTTCCAAATAAAATCTTTTTAAAATAGTAAATATATTTCTTAGGCTTTCCCATCCACTTAGCACTCACTCACTGACTCTCCCAGAGCAACTTCCAGTCCTTCAACCTCCATTCATGGTAAGTACCCTATACAGGGGGACCATTTTTTATCTATTATACTTGTATTTTTACTTGTATCTTTTCTATGTTTATATACATTTAGATTCACAAATACTTACCACTGTGTTACAGTTGCCTACAGTATTCAGTACAGTCACTTGCTAAATAGGTTTGTAGCTTAGGAGCAATAGGCTATACCATACAGCCTAGGTGTGTAGTAGGCTATCCCACCTAGGTTTGTGTACGTGCACTCTGTGATCTTGGCTCAACAATGAAATCACCTAACGACATATTTCTCAGAACATATACCTGTTGTTAAGCAACACATGTCTGTAGTATCTAGGGAACTGTTTGTGGCCATTTTAAACATTACTCAGGAATTGTTTGTAATCCCCGATTACACCCTATGAATCTATGGAGTGTTTAGATTTTTTTTTTTTTTTTTTTTTTTAACTTCCATTGGCTCAGCTGCCAAAGGAGTTCTTGCAGTGCTAGAAAGTCACCCTCCATGCACTGGTCCCAGACGCTAGGGTGTGAGTGCTTCTGAGAGGCACTGGGTTAGAGGGGAAAGCCAGGGCATGGTTTCGTTTAAGATCTACAATCTTAACTGATCCAGAGCTGTGACTTCCTTGAAACCAGTTTCCTTCTATTGTGCACTGTATTACTTTCCATCCTAACTGGATCTATATGTAGTACCTTATGCTTTAATTTTTTGAGGGTCAATCATGTGAAATATAGTAATAGCCATCTGTTTATGAGTGGCTTAATTGAAACATTGCTTAATTGAATTTGTTTAAAAACTGAACCTGGGATTTTCAGTGCGATGCCATGCTTAGACAACTTAGCATAGTACCTCACACACAGTAAAGCCCTCAATAAATTTTAGTTGTCATAATTGTTAGAGTGCCTTCAAGAAGTGGCATTTCACCAGGTGAAAGGCATAGGAGAGCCCCCCCCAGGCAGAAGGAATAAGACATATTAAAGTCCTGATGGGCCAAAGAACCTGTGGCCCTCAAGAGTTCCAATTATGCTAGTGAGGGGAAGCGGCCCAGTGGTGGGTGTCAGGGGTACCGGTGTAGCCAGGCCTTTTCCCTTAGGGAAGAAATTTGGGTTTCGCGGTAAGTTACTGGAAGTCAGAAGGGTTTCAAACTGAGACCAGTCAGATTTGCATTGTTAAAAACTATCTCCTGGAGAGTGGATATAGGGAGGTTCTTTATGAGGTTTGGCCATATGTTAGGTAACCAGCCTTGGGCAGCCACTTAAACTCTGTGTGTCTCAATGTCCTCATCTATAACACAGATTCAATAATAGTACCTACTATAGGATGTGAGGATTAAATGAGTGCCATTTGTAAAGCACTTAAAATAGCTCCTGGCATATATTAAATGCTTTAAGTGTTTGTTAAATAAAATGCCAAAAGTCTGGTGGCAGAAGGTCGAGTATTTCCAGTTCTGCCCTCTGTCCACCTAACATCAGACTGCCCCTGACTCTGAGCCTGCCTAGTTTCCAAACCAAGCCCTCCTGGCCTCCCCGCTCCTCTGCCTGGGTCTACTTGGGACACTTCCACATGGATTTCACGTGTGGCTAGCCAGGCCTGGTTGGGCTTTGCTTCCCACCCCCACCCAACACCTGCATTGCACCCCACTCTGGGGTGCAGGCCCTGTCCTGAGCTTGCTGGAAGCACCAAGTGCCCTCCTTGTTGTGTAAGCCCTACCCCTCTAGTGAGCGTGGCTCCCCTCTGGATAGCACCTGGCTTGTGCCTCATCTCCCCCGATTGCCAACCCAGCTGTGGCTGCTTGCTCTCACCCAGATGGTGCTTGGTGTGGGGAAAGAACTTGGAGATAACTTCTCCTGGGACTATTGTCAGCTCCTGTTTGTTTTCTGTACTTAGGACAGGTTTGAACTGTAAAGCGGGGAAAAGGCAATATATTCAAATAGCTGAATCCAGCCTTTCTTTAGTAAGGAGCCTTTTAATATTGTATACCTT